AAGAAATAGATTGAGAAAGACACAGGAAAATTAAAAGACCTAGGCTTATTGATTGGTAGAATTAATATTGTGAGAAAAAGATCATCATATATACCAAAAGCAATTTATATTTTCAAGGCAATACAAACCAATACCCACATGGCATTGTTATTTAGTTTCCATGATTTTTTGTACTTTGCAGTTTTTATTGTTGTTGAGATTTTTTTACACTGTGTTCAGATAGAATGAAATATTTTTTACTCAAATTTTTCAAAGATTTTTGAATCATGCCTTATTTCCTAATATGATGTTAGATCTCTTTATCTTGTTGGTTTAATTTTCTTGGTACTATTTTCTTGAGATAATTTTTCCATCAATTTTTATCCTAAGGCAATATCTACCCTTGATGGTGAGGTGTGTGTCATGGAGGCAGCAAAAAGATGACTCTTGTATTCTAATCTAAACTGCAAGTTGCTGTATTTTTATTGCAAAGTTGAGACAACTAAGGTTATGTATTGCTACTGAACAAAGTGTACTATTTTTAGATGATCTAGCAAGCTCTTATAACCTCCACAGTCATTGCACCCATGTGTTACACTTACAAACGTGTGTAGAACACGCATACACATAAAATAAAATAAAAAGTAAAATTTTTCAAAAGTAATAATAGGGCTGGACATGGTGGCACATACATTTAATCCCAGTACTCACACACAAAAGCAGGTGGACCTCTTTGAGGCTGACCACATCCTGAGTATCAAGTTTTAGGCCTGCTTGAGGTACAAGACCTTGTCTCAAAAATAAATGAATATAAATCATGTGAGTGGACTTAAAGACAAAATCATATGATCACCTTAAGAATGTCCTTTGACAATAATCCAACATGCATTCGTAATGAAATCCCAAAGGGAGTTTTCCTGGATGAAACATCCCTCAACATAATCAAGGCTGTATCCAACAAATCCACAGCTGACATCATCCTAAATGGAGAAAAACTGGAAGCATTTTCCCTAAAATAAGGAACCAGGCAAGACTGTCAACTATACTCACTCCTATTCGATATAGTGCTTGAAACTCTAGCTAGAGCAATAAGAAAAGAGAAGGAAATTAAAGGGTACTAATTGGAAAAGAAGAGGTCAAATTATTCTTATTTGTGGATGATATGATATGATTCGTAAGAGATCCTTAAAATTCCACCCGAAAAATTTTAGCAATGATCAATACTTTCAGCAGAGTGGTAGGCTACAAAATCAATTTAAAAAATCAGTTGCCTTTTCTATATACTAATAACAAGAAATCAGAGAAAGAGTTCATGGAAACCCACTCACAATAATCTCAAAAAATAAAATGTCTAAAAATAAACCTAAACAAAGATGTTAACGATCTCTACAATCGAAATTTCCTTTTGTATTTAATTTTTTTTAATGTGGTTACCTTGTGTTTTTCTTTCCTTGATGTTATTTGTAGTGTTCAGTAGAGGACTATGTCCTAGTAGGGTTGAGGTGTCCTTTTCCTTTGATGTTTTTTTGTTGTTGTTATTGTTGTAGATCTGTTGAAGCAATGTAAATGAGATTAAAACTATACGACTTCATTATGCCACCTCCCCTGGAACACTAAGAAAACATTTTAATTAACTCAGCTTAAAGAAACTGCCACATTGAGTATCTACCTGACGTAGAAAAACAAAATGGACACCTTAGCATTGCCATGTCGAGACGTCAGTGAAAGAGTTGGCAAAATAGCTGCCCAGACTGTGATTGCCAGTGAAGACTGGAGTTCTGAGGATGACAGAGGAGATGTGGAGAGTGTCAGCAAACCCTGAGAGTGACGATGTGGTTTAGCTCAGTGTCAGGAGATTGCAACATGGCTGAGTCTAGACTGTAATAGGACTTTTTCCCTAGAAGGAGCTAAAAATTCCTTTATGATTTTAGGGAAATCGGCGAAAGATAAGAGATGTTCAAGAAGTAAGAAGCCGACTGGGATTGTTCTCAAGTGAAAACGGAAAGTAGGCACAGAACATCTCCGGGGCTGGTGTGTCCTCCACTGAGACGCTTTTCATTTTTAAGCTAATTTATTCTTTGCCAATTTCTCTCTTCCTCCTCTTTCTCTCACATGCCCACAGTCAACGTGGATCACAGCCGCCCCGTTTTCCTCTCATCTCCATCTCTCCTTTTCCCAGGACAGCCTCCTCCTTCCATGACTGTTCATTTGTTGGTTGGTTTTCTAAAGGCTGAGATGAGTGTCTCTCCCTAGATCTTTGTCCAGAGTTTTCATGGGAAACACACGATGTGATTTATCAGACAAGGCTTTCCAAGAGAGACAAAGATCATTTGTCTCAACATGTATACAAGAAACTTTCCTTTAAGGTTACAACCTCACTAAAGCTGGTAGGGAATCCCAGCCATACATACAGGTTTGAACTCATGTAAATCTCTCCTGGGCAGGGAAAGTCTTCCCATAGGGCAGAGATGATTGGGGTCACAACATTTTACCGTGACCATGAACAATTCTAGGAATCATTGATTCCTTTTCAAGTTGGGTGAATTTCTAGTTTATTTTTTACCCTTCCATATGTTGGCTTAATTTTTTAAAAAAGTAAGACCATTTTGCCAAAGGTTGGTAAGTTTATTTTTTTAAGTGTATTGCAGTGAAAAATGCTTGTCCTAGGGAATTAAGAGCACGTTCAAGGCGGCTGTGGCTGGGAAGACTGGCAAGGCCGAAGGAGCCAGGCAGCTTGGGATGTTTTAAAGCAGAGGTACTTGATCAAAAAGATCAGAAAAGAAATTGCACCTGCCCCAGACAAAAAAGCCAGTTACCACACAGATGTTCCAGAATCAGCATTACTGTGTAAGACAGGGATTGCCTTTGTAAAATCTAGGGATATGATAGTGCTTTTGTGAACAGTCGGTTTCTCGGGCATACAAGGCATACATACGGTAAATCTCTCTTCCTTTACCTACTGGTGCATATGTGTGTGTGTGTGTGTGTGTGTGTGTGTGTGTGTGTGTGTGTGTGTGTGTGAATTATATTGCAAAGGACTTGAAATGTGTATTACAAAA